TTCTCAGTGTCGAACAAAAAATTAACCCCTACTCTACAACGCATGCATTCATTGTGTGTGTGTGTGTGGGTGGGGGGAAATGCAAACGCAAAAAAGAGAGCCCTTGGGGGGAGACATTACGGATGAAGCGCCGCCGCCATGCGTCGTATATATAATAATAGTAATATAATATATATACGTGCGCCGTCTGTGGTGGTGCATGATCCGCTCCGGCGCTTGTGTGTGTGTTTGTACATAACATGTGCATGTGTGTATGTGTGTATGTGTAATATATATATATATATATGTATGCCCATATCTCTACACACGTGTGTGTGTGTGCAACACAACGACAACACAAAACTACAAAACTCGCAAGAGATTAAAAAAGAATAAAAAAGAAAAAAAGTGGCGTGTGGGATGTGTGGTGTGTGGGGCGGGGGCGGGGCATGCATATACACAACACCACACGCACACACACACATGTGTAGTAGTATATACAATGTAATATATATATATATGCATGTACACTATACAATATATATATATATATGTATAATGTACACGTGTGTGTATAATATATGTATGTGTGTTGTGTGTACGTGCCTGTGTGTTTGTGTGTGTATGGTGTGTGTGTGTTGTATGCTGTGTGCGTGTTCCACCATCATATATATATACATATCCACGCTTATTTTTTTTTCTTCTTCTTTTTGTTTACAGACCTGAGTGTGGCAGGACTACCCGCCGAACTTAAGCATATTACTAAGCGGAGGAAAAGAAAACAACCGTGATTCTCTCAGTCAGCGGCGAGCGAAGAGGGATCCAACTCGTTGCCGAATCGGTTCTTATAGGAACTTGAGTTGTGGCAAGAAAGCGTCGCTTCGAGGGCTGGTGCAGGAATGGTGAAATTCAATTGCAAAGCAAACCCGTTGCTGAATACAACCCTTCATGTGAGTATTGAGCCAAAGAAGGTGTTAGCCCATTGAGCCATGAACCTAAGCGCCTCCTTAAGCGAACCAAGAGAGTAGCACTGCTTGGGAGTGCAGTGTCAAGCTGGCAGGTATGTGTCTGCCAAAGTTAAATAAAGAGTAGGAAGACCGATAGCGAACAAGTAGCGTGAGCGAAAGTTTGAAAAGCACTTTGGAAAGAGAGTGACATAGAACCTGAAGTCGTGACAATGACAATGGAAGTACCTCCATTTCAACGGCCAAAACCAGCCTCTTTTTTCTTACTGATAATTATATTATTAGTAGCAGAGCTTATCCCGCTGGGGTTTAAAATCCAGTGGGTAACCCTGAAAAGCAAGAACGAGGTCATGGTGTACAAAATGTGTGTATACATAAGCGGAGAGTAAGAAGGAGCGTGGTTCATTGTTTTTTCTCTCTTTT